TCTAGTAGTAAGGCTTACGGGGGGGCTCAGATACGCTTATTTTATACGTGGAGATTTTAGCTGGAGGAGAAAGGCTCGTACGACAGTATTTTTAGTCTTATTTCCTGATATTTGGATATCTAGGATCGGATAACAGCAACATATCTCTACCACTGACTTACAACATTCAGGTTTTATCTCCACAGAATCCTGAAAGAGTTCTGCCGTGTTGTGGAGTTGCTAATGCTAACGGTTAGCTTCCATTATTTGAGACGTTCTCTGTTGTTTCCTGGACACTAAAACAACAACAGCCTACCTCATTGCAAGTCAAGATGGGTGAGTCCAAGTGACAGCTTGATGTAGAGCGGTCAGAACGTTTCACCATCTATTTTTTATCAGAAGCGAATGCAACAAATAGGTATAGGAATTAGTTTTCACGGTCAGTATACATGTTCAACTCAGATTCACTGATTATAATCAGAAATACTAATACATGGTATTTCAATGACCTTTTAAAATGGGTTTTTGTGGTCAGCAACAGAAAATACAGGATACAGCGGTCTTCTCCTTGTATCGTTTGATGACGTCAATTTGGTGAGACGAGCAGTTGGAGTCCACTACGTCTTTTCACTCAAAACCTACAGTAACCTTTGCTGCCTGTAAAAAAATAAGCACTTTCTTGGCATCAAAATTTTATTTCAAATTCACAAACATCTGTTAAATCCATGACACATGTCAAACAGGGTCAGAAAAAATTATACAAATTTGGAGATGGTTATTAACCCATTATTAGGATGGTTCTAACCCAACAGCAAGGGTGTACATATGAGGGTGGGGTGGGGGTGGGGGGGCTGGGGTGGGGGGGTTGTTCCAGGTTAAGAGAGGAACTAGACAGAAAGATTCCTTCTCCCCATCAATTTTGAATTCATCGATAAAATCACTGGCTCATCTCCCTTGGAATTTCCCCAAAATAGCATAGATTAATTTTGGGGCATCATCACATGCATGTCATTTTATGAGGCTGATACCTTAATTCGTGAGGCAGATGTTCAAACTCTCCCCACAGTTTCATATCCAGGTTGAAGGTGAAAATAGTCTTCTACCCCTATTTTCTGCATTAACCACGGGTAGAAAACAGACGAGGAAACTGTCAGATTAAAAAAGAAGACAAAGAAACAATCTTTTATATAGCATCTCTCAAGATAAAAATCATGAGGCACTTCACAAAAACAAATAAATTAAAGTATAAAAATATTTCTAAAATTTTCAAAATTATTTTTTATGAGAAAAAATAAAAATTGTGACTAAAAAAATGTAAGGAAAGGCAGAGAGAAAATGAATAGGAAAGAGTCTTGGATCTGTGGATCCCGGGAATGGTGGAATAAGAACAGAATAAGGAGAGGGTGGTGATGAAGGCCACGCAAAAGCCAGCCTGAACAGGTGAGTTTTCAGCTGCTTTTTAAAGGAGACCACCGAGTCCACTGATCACTGGCTCAGGGGGAGAGAGTTCCAGAGTCTGGGGGCCACAGCAGCTAATGATCCGTCACCTTTGGTCTTTAGCCTGGTGCTGCACAACCAGTAGGCTTTGGTCACTGGACCTCAGGGACCTCCTGGGGGTGTAGGGACTGAGAAGATCACCAAAATATGATGGTGCATGTCCATGTCCTAAAAACCAGAACCAGAATCTGTAGGAAAAGCCAGGTGATGCGGGTGTGTTAGGAGGACTTGGTCAGAAGCAGAGCATCTTAGACCTGTAGATGGTTCAGGGAGGTTTTGCTCAGACACGTGAAAAGAGAGTTGCAGTAGTCTAAGCACGAGGAGGTGAAGGTGTGGATAACTGTCTCAAGTTCAGAGTGGGACAGAATGGGACTCAGCTTTGCAATGTTCTTGAGACTGAATATGGAAGAGCAAACAAGATAACTGACATGGGAGTCCAGGGTGAAAGCAGGTTCAAAGGTCACACCAAGATTCCTTCCTTCTAAGTTCCCAGCCAACCAGGTTAGTCTAAGCACGAGTGTACCAACTGCAGCTTAGACATCTCATGGGGCTTGATGGCTTGGATGTCATCTGCATAAAGATGGTAGGAGTTTCTTTTAAAGGAGCTCAGGATGTGCTGAAGAGGAAGCAGATAGAGGAGGAAGAGTAGAGGCCCCAGCACATAACCATGTGGGACACCGTGGGTGAGGGAGGTTGTAGAGGAAAGAATGCTCAGACAGATATGAGGAAAACCACTCAAGAGCAGAACCTGACAGGCCTACCCAGTCTCCTCTCCAGTGGCAGGTGATCGTCAACAGTGTCAAAGGCTGCTGTCAGGTCCAGCAGGACCAGAACAGAAGAGAACAGTCCCCTGCATCACTGTGAGTCAGAAGGCCGTTAGAGATCCTAAGAAGAGCAGCTGTGAATTGTTTAGCCACAATCTTTTCCAAGATCTTGGAGATGAACGGGAGTTTAGAGATGGGTCTGAAGGTGCTATGGAGAGAGGGGTCAAGACTCGGTTTTTTAACAAGCAGATGGCTTACAGCGTTCATAAATTAAGCCAGTCACATGGAAAATGAACATTCATAGACTCACCCATCTCAGCTTGCAACCAGGAAAGGTTGTTGATTTAACGTCTAGGAGAGAGCAGAGCAAGCAATAGAAGGTAACTGTTAGCATGTGCCACTCAACTACATGGCAGAACTCCTTCAGGCTTGTGTTATTTGGAGATAAAACTTTGATGTTGCATTACTGATAGCCAGTCAGAAGCAAGAGTTGGCTACTTCTGTCATTGTCCTGAGCTGTGGTAACGCACACATTTCCCTGCTCTGGGATCGATAAAGTTCCTTAAAATAATCCTGTATTATTAAGAAATGACCAAATGCATCATTGCAGTTTGTTGTCTCTGCTGAGCATCAAGCTGCCATTCACTCACGTGTGCTGCTTGTGTTCTGTCAATAACTAAGATATTGATCAACTTCAGTCTCCCATTCCCCGTCCCAGTTTTACCAGTTAGTTTAAAAATATGACCAACAGCTGAGGCGTGTTTTAGCATTCAATGACTGATCCAGTCATTTTATAATTTTTGTTTTATTAAGCTTTACAAAACAGTCAAGAAGGAAATGTTGTAAAGGCAAATGTTCAGTTATGTAATGGATGATAGTCCGCCTCTTTATCACAAGCACAAACACTGAGCGCATAGCTGGAGACGAGGCTGGCGGCAGTGAAAAAAGGACTCAGGGGTGGAGTCTCTTCACTTCAGGTGCAGAGATGCTGGAAACAGCTGCCTGAATGTTGTCAGATTGCAGAGCACCACAGAGTTACAGCCCCCATTACAAGCTGATATAGAGCAGGATATTAGGAGGAATCCAACAAGCAATGCGCAATAATCCCTTTTAGTTTTTTTTTTTTCTGCTTCAACCACTCCGGGGAGACAAAGCTAACATCAATAAGGTGCCGCTCCTGCACTTCTAATTTACGTACATGTGTCAAGTATATCACAGGCTTTTGCAGTGATGATGTAGGCATTAGAAGAGATACGCTCATGATTGCCTTTTGTTTTCCCTACTGAATATCAAGCTGCCATTCAGAGCCTAGAATAACAAACCCCATTTTCTCTTGGATTAATGGGGCTTTGAGGCTTCTACGATGAGGCCTCAACATATTAGTGAGCTTGTTGAAAGAGAAAACTCTGAAAGCTTCTAACCCTCATCTGTAGAGGTGATCAAGTTTGTTGAAATGTTATGCTCCTGGATGCTGAAAACCCACAACCGAGTCATGCTCTGATGAGTTTAACACAAAACTTTATGTGACATGACCTGAAGATTAATTTTAATGGATCAATTAATACTTGGAATGAAAAAAGTGAGAACAAAAGTGGGGGCGACTACTAACAGGGCTACATCTGTTTCAAGTGATTGAATTACATCTGCATGGTTTAACGATCCAGGTATTTAACTCAGGTGAGCTGAAAAAGGAAAACATTTTTTGAACTTGCTTTTCTTGATATTGAAGTATGCTTTCTTTTTTATTCAATTCAATTCAAGTTTATTTATATAGCGCCAAATCACGACAAGAGTCGTCTCAAGGCACTTCACATAATAAACATTCCAATTTTGGTCAGTTCTTTAAGCCAATCAGAAATAATGTTTCCTATATAAGGAACCCAGCAAATTGCATCAAGTCACTGACTAATGTCAGTGACTTTACAGCAATCCTCATACCAAGCAAGCATAAAGCGACAGTGGAGAGGAAAACTCCCTTTTAACAGGAAGAAACCTCCAGAGAATCCTGATTCAGTATAAGCAGCCATCCACCACGACTCACTGGGGATCGAGAAGGTTATTGATGCTAATTCTTCTGCAGAGCATCAGGAGAAAATTCACTTCAGAATTTAGGCTGCATGTGTCGAACCAACTGTTGAAGGATTAATGAATGACCAAGCCTTTTCTCACTTCCTGCTTTACTTTCCATACTTCTGTTCTTTTTTTTGGACACAAAGCTGTTTCATTAAGTATTTTTTAATACGAATTAGTGTTTGAAATTCATGAATAAAAGGTGAGATTTAATTAACCAGCCCTTAGGAAAAAGGTATATTGCAATATGCCAGAATTTCTTTTGCAATACATTAAGAAATGCATTTCAATATGAGAAATCTGATCATATATTTGGTAAATCTATGGTTACACAAGCTAATGGAATAGTAGAGAGGATTATTGAATTTAGGTTTAATACAAATAACTGTATTTTAATGAGTCAAGGAAGCTCAGAATCCCATTTTGCATGACATGCATCATGTAACCTATACCTTGATTGAAACTATAGATGTTGCTGCAGTTGCTTACAAATACTTGCCTCTGAACTGTTAATAAAACATATTAGTTAGTCTAATTAGCCCCTCAAAAAATCAGGAATAGTTGAAATAAACAAAATCTGCATAATGCTACTTTAACATGCTAATAGTTGCAGCCAAACCTACAAAAGGTTCATCTAGTGAGGAGTATGCAACAAATATGCTTCACCAAATAATGAAACAATACAGGAAAAAAAATTAAAAATTCATTTATTATTTCAGGGTATTTTTTTTGTTTGTTTCTGCCTTTGTTATACAAAGATGTTAAATAACTTAAATACATTCTTACCAGTCTTCCGCGATCTGTTTATACCTACAAGCTATACACATGAGGTAGAGGAAAATAATTTAGAGTTCCCATAAGACATGAAAAGGTGAACATGAACAAAAATCTGCTGGTTTTATATAATAATAATAATAATAATAATAATAATAATAATAATAATAATAAAAAGAAAACAGAAAATGAAATAAACAGTTGGTGTGTTTCATCTCTCATTTACAAGCACAGAGAGATGTATTTATCAGTTTTATGTTTGTTTTGACTTAAAAATACAAAGTTAAAACATTTTCACAGAATGATAAAAATACAGATCAATTCCTATGAAACATTTAGATGAATGTGATTTACAGAAACAGCTAGAAGTGAGTCGATTGAACATTTTTTAGGAGTGCTTGGATAAAAATTATTTATTTAAAATATGCTGCTTTTTGAAGCCTCCACCCCAAAGAGGAACGAACACCAAGACAAAGACAGATACAAAAATGGGGAATATTACACTTTATGACCTTATTTACATGAAACATAAGCTCATAATATATTTAAAAATAATTTATCTTTTATTCCTTTTCTACAAAATATAATTTTGTAAATGATCCTCTGACACAGTGCAGATATTTGAGATAATTAATGACTGTGAGGTCTAAATATCAACTATTCCTGCATTGTCCTCCTGATTTTCAGGAGAAATTTACAGGTTTTTGTACAAACTAAATATGCATGAATGCTGTCTGGGATTTGTGTCATATCTGTTGCAAATCCAAACAGCAGAGAACCTCACCGTGTTTTGGCCGAGACTCACCAGAAGGTATGGGGAGCAAGCATTTGTGCTCTAGGTCTCAGCATACTTATTATGGTTTCCACGTAGCGTGCAAAGAGCTATGTATACGTTTTGACCAGTTTTTCCTTGGCGTGCCATCTCATATCTAAATGTTTGGAATTCAAGGGAGATTTCCTCCCAGAGTCGATTCCTACGGTCAAAATTTTATATGTTTCCATTAAAACGATTATTGTTTCAACACATCAGGTTGTTTTAAATGTGTGACATTTGAGCATGTGCCTCAATTTTGACTCTACCACAGGAGAAGAAACCTTTGCTATTTACATAAAAGAATAAAAAAATAAAATAAATTCTGCACTGAACTGTATCCATAAATACAGATCTTTAAATACTTTAAAGGGCTTTTGGGCGTCAGTGCGTGAATGATGCTATAATACAAAGCTGGGTCCCTCGCTCAGTAGTTAATTCACACCAATCCGAAATCGATTTGTCTAATTGCTGAAAATTGAAAAAAAAATGTTGAAAGAGTTATCTATTTCTGCTAGCGACAGTATTTATCACACAGACCTCAAAAAGATGTTTCTTTCACTCAAAAAAAAGCAAGTAAATACTGTTCATTTGATGCTAAACTGTTTTGTTCCTAAAGTGTCACTGTTACTGCATTTTGTATGAAAACTGAGTCACTTTAAACAAGAAAACAATAGAAAAAGGCAAATGATCTCATGCAAAAATACATTTTCACTGACTTCACAATGAAGACAGTAGCTACAATTCCTCTTTTTGGCATACAAACATCAATTCGTGGTCTGCCACATAAGTTCTAGTCTCATAAAAGTTGTTCATATTAGCTCAATCCATCCATTTCCTCCTCTTATCCAGGGTCGGGTCGGGGTAGCAGCAGCCTAAGCAGGGAGGCCCAGATTTCCCTCTCTGCTGCCACTAGGGCCAGCTCCTCCGGGTGAACCCCAAGGTGTTCCCTGGCCAGCCATCATGTCCTGGGTCTTCCTTTAGGTCTCCGCCTGGTTGGGTGGGCCCAGAAAACCTCAACAAAGAAGCATCCAGGATGCATCCTAACTAGATGGCTAAGCCTCCTCATCTGGCTCCCCTCGATGTAGAGGAGCAGTGGGTTTACACTGAGCCCCTCCTGGATGACCGAGATTCTCACCCTATCTGTAAGGGAGAGCCCAGCCACCCTGCGGAGAAAACTCATTTTATGATCTCATTCTTTTGGAACATAGATCGGCCGGTAAGTCCAGAGCTTCACCATCTGACTCAGCTCTCTCTTCACCACGAAAGGCCGGTACAATGCCCGCATCACTGCAGACGCAGCACCAATCCTCCTGTCGATCTCACACTCACTGCACTTGAGGCACAACCTCATCCCTGACCTGGAGAAGGCATTCTGCCCTTTTCCAACTCAAGGCCATGGTCACAAATTCTCATCCCAGCTGCTTCACGCTCCAGTGAAAGATGAAGATCACATTCTGATGAAGCCAACAGGACCACATCATCTGCAGAAAGCAGAGCCGATCCTCGGGCCACCAAGACAAATCCTCTCAACACCTTGGCTGCACCTAGAAATCCTGTCCATAAAAGTTATGAACAGAATCGGAGACAAAGGGCAGCCTTGGCGGAGTCCAACTCTCACTCTCACATTAGCTAAAAGGCATAAATGTGGATCTTCACTTGCACACACCTGAACACAAGTTAGATTTCAGTCTCAGCTGTCCTCGTGCCGTTTGAATTTCTCCTGCACGAAATGGCTCAATTAAGCGCTGGCAGCTGAAGAGCAAAGACTGGTCTGAAATAATAGGGAGTTACATTCCTACAGTTCTCCACAGTTTTCTATATAAATTCATAGCAGAAAAACTCATAAAAAGCTGCAAAGAGCTCCATAAATTCTTATCGAAGCAGCATGAAGAGTGTCTGCAGATCAGCTGCTGCAATACCGTTGGCTTAAATCAAAAGACCACTGTCATCTCCAGCTTTTTAAACTATTTCTTTCATATGTATCCAAAAAGATAGTGGTTGAAGTTTATTTTCCCTGAACACTGATTTGCTCAAGGCCAAGAATAGCCTAAACGACGGTTTAGTTGTTTTCTTTTTGTAACCACATAAACTAACAGCTTCATATTCATTATAATATTGAAAAAAAAAACTAAAAAGTTTTTCTCCGAGTAAAGTAGTCCCAAAGGATCTATAAATTATCCACACAAGTGTGCTGCTCTCCAACGGGGCTTGTCAAAACAAATCAGGAAAGAAAAACGAGCAACAACACACAAATAATAAAACATTTGTGTGTTTTAGTGGTTTGTTTTTTACATACTTAGATAAGTGGCATGTTTAATAATATAACTGTTTTTATCTATATATAATATGCAACACACCATGTGTGGCAGTGTAAATATGCGCGTGTAAATGAAATTTTACACTCTGTCTTTTATTTCTTTTCTCTATGAAGCAGTTTTGTTTTTTTATCATCATGAAAATTGTCACTCAAACTTTTGATTCCTCTTCATGATTGCCCTCATTCTTACCCCTTCTTTCCACTGCACGTCAATTCGCCGCAAAACGGCCGTGAAACACACAACGCGGCAATTAGCTGCCATTATAGTGGACGTGTTCCTTTCCACCGGCAGCGACGAGGGAAGTTTTGGACGCGCCCCAAAAGCGAGGGCATGCTATCGTTACATTTCGAGTCTATTTTATGGACGTGCTACGCTTCCAAACCACGTCAAACTCCACAGTTTAACACGAGCCAGACAGGAAGTCAAACACACAAGCAGCGTAGAACATCCGGAAACTTTCAAAATAAAGGTAATGTGCAGTATGTCATTTCCTGTGAATGTGTTAAACAAAACAGAAAATAACCCACAGACATTTTTTCATGGATGCAGCTGTCTTCTTTCTTGTTTATTATTGTGTGTGAACGTCTGAAATCACGTGTGGTGTTGCAATTCTCCCGTGATTTTGTGACATCACGGGATCAGCTGTGTGGGATGCTTTCACTCCCGTTTCGTGTCAGAATTGCTCCCGGTTGGGATTGAGCTCGCGGGTGGAACGCCGCTATTACGTTACACGACCGCTTTCACGGCCAGTGGAAAACCGGGGTTACACTCTTACAAATGCACACACACACACACACACACACACACACACACACACACACACACACACACACACACACACACACGCACCTCTCTGGGCAAGGCCAAATAAATCAGTCTGTTAATGTGACTGTCCTGTTGCATCATGGTTGTTTTTCTACATGTGGTTCCCCTCAAAGCATTGCTGCGATAAAAAGCTTGAGAAGGTGACCCAGTTGTCTGAGAAAGTTTTCATGTTGCAGGACCCCTAAGCTCCCCCCCCCAACCCACAAACATCCCTCAAAGTGCTTATTGCTTTTAGGCTTGCTTGTCAATTTTTTTTCTGCGTAACGTTCCAACACTGGAAGCAGAACGTCGCGTGAGAACAGTCGTCTTTAACCATTTGTGACTTTGCTTGCTGCAGCTTCACCCCTTGCAGGTGTAGACTTCCTCTCTCTGTGTGCACTGCTTGCATTCAACGTAGCAGCACCAGCGCACCTGGCACTGGCAGGGCCCAGTCACCTCCCGGCTTTGCGTGTTGTGGCCTCGCCCGCAACAGATAGCGTCACAGTTTTTGTCCTTGTAGCACTTGCGGGCTGCTGTCCCCGATGAGTATTTGCTGGCTTTACAGAAGCTGGGTGAGTCCTCGATGTGCAGCAGATCCATAGTGCGTGGGATTGGATCACTCAAACCAGGCAGGGACTGCGGCGGCGGCGGCTGCTGTTGGCCGCGGCCGGTGGAGATCTCCCCCTCCCCGGTGGCCTCATTGGTGGAACTGCCGACCTTGACGGAGGTTTCGTAGCGCATTTTCAGCTGCTTGCCAATCTCGTGGAAGGGCAGGAGCTGTCTCCAGCAGGTCTGGACGGTGCAGGAGCCAGAGACGCCATGACATTTGCAAGTGGTCTCTACTCCAGCCTTGATTACCTGAAGCAGAGACAAAGGAATATTGTTGGGCACTCCAAGACATTAAAAACATGAAAGCTATGCAGGTTAACAAGCCTTTGTTTAATAAGCAGCACATGAAAGAGTCAATGTATGCTCGGAGTTATTTTAAAAAGGTGGAGCAGTGTGGCGCAGGGGTTAGATGTGGACAGTGGAGAATTATTAAAAGTCATTTTGTTTTGATTAAAAAGCAAATTAGAGGCTTTGCTTATGAGTTCTGACTTTAAACCAAACAATGAGGTTCCTTTAGTAAAAGAGCAGCAGACTGTGTGAGGCCTGACTTTGTTATGAGCACAAAGTCCAACCAATCATCTACTCATGAAGACATTTTAATATTAGAAGGTGAAACACAGTTTCCTTTGAGTTTCTCTTTTATTTCTGAACTTAATACTTCACCAACCCGATCTTCTGCTGTGGTGGCTACAAAAACACCATTATATACTTTAAACCTTAGTCTTTTACAAAAAATAAAAATCACAGATAAAATTAAAATGCCACTTCTCAGCTACAAAGACCATAACATTTTGTTTTGCCACCTGCTACCCTGTCAGCAGTCAGCCAGAGTTCACCGCTGCAGCAAAGGCAATAAGTGAGCAAGTCGGAGCTTTGGGAGAATCTGCATTTCTGTTCTCAGACATCGAAAGAGATCGGAGAACAGGAAGTGCATATTCATCACAGCCCCAGGTCAAGAACATTTGATCAGTCAGCTTTTAACAGAGAGGAGGTGGGATGCAGAGGTTAGCACATTCCAGTTTTGTGGGAATTTATTCAGTGTGGGAATGGATTCAAAGTAAATGTTGCAGGCTTTGCACCTCTTTGCATGTGCAAATCATACACATAAAAAGTGCAAAAACAACGTTGTAAATCCCAATCGCTAAATCAAATTCTCCAGAACGATTGTGTTTTAGAGTGCTGTGAGTGTGTGTGCGCGCGTGTGTGTCTGCCGGCATATGGTAAGTGTTCTATCATAACTCATCCTAAAAACCAACACAAAAATGGGAAGAATCAGGGGCGAGAGGCAGAGAGAAGAAAGAAAACATTCCAGGCCCTAGTTTGCTTTGGCTTGAGCGATTATGACCATTCCTTCTTTTTATGTCGCTATTAAAACCACTTCCAAGATAAAAAGCACATAAACAATCGCTGAACAAAGAGCACAAATGAAAGTCGCTGCTCGTTTAATCAGAAAGAGAAAACCAAACGCTGAATAACGAACACTTTCACTATCACCAAATTTACGGTAGCCATTACTCCCGCCAGTTTAGATTTCTCCTGTTGATTCAGTTTCAAAGTGAGCTCAGCTTTGTCAGTAACTTCATTCTCCCAAGGATCCCTCATCAACTCTAATCAATATCACTGCTGTGGACGTAAGTCTCCTTTTGCTCATTTTAACCGTATATTTGGACAGAACGCTTTGTCTTGGACGACCTTTTTCCACCAGAGCAGCAATATTTTGTTCCTTTATTACAAAATAAAAGCACAGATACGTAACAGAGTTTACGGTTAATGCGGCTAATGTTCCTGGTGGAGTATCGTCTGCAACTCCAAATAAACCCTGACCCTGTTTTAACTAGTTTCCTAATGAGCGACTCCTGCTTTGTAACTGAACCTTTTTTATTATCTGGTGGAAATTATTGCTTCAATGTTTGGATGATTAATAATGACATTTGTGGCACATTTACTACCCTGAAGCTGTTACATGATTAACATGTCTTGCTTTAAATGCAACTCCCTAAAACGTTCGTGAATAATTGTCTGCCAAAGATTAAAGCAAGAACTTTTCAAATTAATGGTGCCGAGGCCAAGACGTTGTGACTCTTTGTCCTTTCCCCCTAAAAGCTCCAGATAGACCTCACATGTTGCTCAGTTCATCTGTTTCTTTTATCATGCTTTATTTGCAAAAATAATAATAAAGAAGTCTGTTTTGCACGCTTACTTTCATGCCCACATTTGTGTTGTGCATGTCCACGCGTGCACGCAGGTCCTTGTTGGAGCGTTTGCCCAGAAATTCCTTGACAAATTTGTTGGCATATTTGAGGTTGTCTCCACAGCCTCCCCACTGCCAGGCCTTGCGATTCTCCAGGTGTGGGGCCTCGTCACACGTGCAGCGCTCCATCCGTCCGGCGCTGCACGCTTTGGCCAAGGCGTGTGTCAGCCCCGCTGAGGAGATGGCGTACAAGAAGGCTGTTTCTTTAAATCCTGCAAAAGGCATGGTAGGTTTAAATTAAAGGTGGTGAAATGCAGGTTTATTTTTTTGTTTATGGAGATGCATCTGTCTTTCTTATAAAACTAATTATAATATTTTGGATGTGATTTTGATGTCAGCCATTTGTAAATCCAATGACTTCATTTGATTTGATGGAAGGAGGTGCAACTCTATTAATGCTGCATCCCCAAAAGGGTATATTTGCATTTCTTCAAGCTATAATTTCTAAATTGATTTGCAAAAAATCTTTTCTACAGATGTTTGTCCCTTAATAATAAACTATCTTCTAATGCAATGTGGTAAAGGATCTGAAGCAAAGCCTCAGTCACAAAGATTCAGAAAGGCCATCCAAGGGGGATGTGTGTCTGTGTGATTACCAGAGGTGTGACCAAGTCACTGCTTTGCAAGTCACAAGTCACAAGTCTTTCCAGTCATGTCAAAGTCAAAGACAACCAAGTCCAAGTAGAGTGCAATGTCAATAATGTGAAAGTCCAAGTCAAGTCCAAGTTCTTAACTTTGAATTTTCAAGTCATAATCAAGTCATCTGTCCAACTTCAATTTAATGACAATGATAATAAATAAAGTCAGAAATAAAGCTTCTTAAAGCTTCATTTATTTTCTCAAACAGCAGAAAATGCAACTGAAACTTATTATAAACAAAGTGCTGCTGCATTCAGCAGTAAATCTAACCCAGAACAAAGAATGATTCATGATTTTTGTCCATGTCGAGCCACTTTTGTGCTAAAATATCAAATATGCTCAAGTCATCATCAAGTCAACAGCTGCAAGTTGATTCAAGTCGCAAGTCATTGGCGTTCAAGTCCAAGTCAAGTCGTAAGTCTTTATAGATTTTATCAAGTCAAGTCAAAAGTCATTAAAATAATGGCTCAAGTCTGACTCGAGTCCAATTCATGTGGCTCGAGTCCACACCTCTGGTGATTACATTGTAAACTCTATAATCTGAATTTTGTAGCTTTAATGCACCATCACTCTTACCTCTTTTCAGTATGTTGGCTCGGTGGCGCCCCTCCAAGGTGCAGTTCCACCTCTCAAAGCGGAATTGATGCTGGCACTCTAGGGCGCTCATGATTATGGCCTCCCTCAAGGTGTCGGCCACGCCCGGGTCTCGTCTGCACATCCTGCGCTGTTTCTTTTCCAATTTGAGACGGTCACAAAGCTTGAAGTGGGCCCTGCCCATAGACTCTTCTGGTAGGGAATTCAGTGGCAGCACAGACAACGGTTCATTACCAGTCAACCTAGAGAGAGAGAAAACGCAACACAGGTAAAGTGACGTGCACAAAGCAAACATAGTGTCAAACATGGAAAATATGAAATAGATGATGCTCAAAAGTTGGTTAATGATCAGATGAATTTGCCTGGTCGGTGGTTAATGTTCAGGGGAATTCAACATTTGCTGGAGATTAGGATCGACCTCAACGTCCTGACACTTTTGACCCATTTTTAAACATATGACAGCCACTCGAAAACATACTTTTTTTTAAGAAATACGAACATGACACGTCTCACATGCATGTAAAACATGTAAGGCAGTAGCTGGCAGATGTGTGAATGCATACAATAATGAGAGAATTTACACTCTCCGTAACGAAAAGAAACATTCTGAATCCTAAAGCTGCACTTCGACACTGAAGCTCCAGCTCACATGGAGAACATGTGGTAAACTTGCACTTCATCCATCAGTTTATTTAAGGGAGTTGTATATAAAACACTCAAGGCGAGAACTGCCACATCGCTGGCAAAACCAACGGTCCAATCTGGGGTTGTGATGGCGAAAGCAGAGCACTGCTTTCATAAACACACACAGGGGACGCAGGCTTGTGACCGTTTTGGTCACATCGACCGGCTCTGTTGGCACCGTAGTTGTTCATTATGTGTAATTTCTGGCCCCCTTTACACCCTAAAGTGAAATTGACGAATAAACGGATTTAAAGATGTCACAAAAGCACAAGTGTTTCTCGCCTGTGTGCTTCTGCAGCTGCAGTTTTAAAGATCACTTGTGTAAGAACACATCATTCCCTGATGACATGGATGAAATTGCAGGAATAATTTTTCTTATTTTTACTGTAAGATTAGATGGTAATTGCATCTTTCATAATACATTTTTAAAAAGTTCTGGAGCTGCCAATCGAGAATGAAGAAACTCAATACTAAAAGAGCGAGAAGACGCTGTGGAAAACACTTCTGCAAAATGCTGTCAAGGTGCAGAGCAGCTGCTGAACACAAACGTCAGGTTGGTTAACATTCCAGTCCCAGAGCTGTTGATTGGTGATGCACATTGCTTGCACTTTAACCTCCACGCTGCTTTGCAGAGAAGAGTCCATCAGCACTTATATCCACCACAGTCTCCACATAAAGGTCACGGGAGTTCTTCAGCAAGAGATTTGTTTTATTATGTCCAAAAGCTGACTGAACAGACTGAAACATTTCCCCTCGTGTCCTCTGTGTCATATCAGTGGAACTAATAGTTAACAGATGCTTGAGTACACGGTGCTTTTGCTTTATTGTGCATGAAGTGGATGAGTCAGAGCAGACAAATCAAACAGGAGTCCTCGCGGTTTGCGTGAATATTGAGCCTGTTTTCGTAATTAACCTGAAAGTGGTGAATTTCAAATAGAAACCTGGCAAACAAACGTGTTCTCTTGTTGTCTAGTGGAGTTGCATACGCAAAACAAGGCGAGGCAAGAACTGCGCCTCTAAACAAAGAACATTTTCCACCAAAGTCCATCCATGCTTTGTTAAATGACATGAAACTACTGAAAAATCTATAACAAACATTGAGGAGACCCACGACGTTACAGTGAGTTGCAACCTTTCCACAACCGTTCTAGAACAAGCAGCCAGCGACTGAACGGAGGACAGGATCATTTGAAATGCTGGTTAAATATTTAAGATAATCACTGTAGTTTTTAGATTCATATATCAGGGGACAATTGCATCAATAAGCACTATAATTAAATGTGTGCCGTGAAAAGCTTTGAGCGTATTTCCAACTGAGTGAAGGTGGTCTTTAATTTACTAATACCTCCTAAATGACGTGCACATTCCCTGGGAAAGCATGCATAGCAACACATATCTGCATTCAATCTTCGAAAGGCCTAAAAGCGTGTCAAAACAAAGACCCTCAGAGTGACAGGCCTCAACTGTCTGCGTGAAGTCTGCGTGTCTGGAGAAAGAAAACGGTGTGAGGAAGGGAGGCAAGAATGATACACTCAGGCTTACCCCCGCCACCCTCCTCCCTTTGGTACACAGAGGCATATTTCTAACTGGGAAGGCCCGAGGGCAAAGTGTGAAGAAGGAACACGTACTTCTTCACATCTGCAGAGAAGAAGCAACTGGCCAGATTCTGCTCTTGTGCAATGTTTTTGCTCTGTGATGGACCGCGGTGCAAACGGTATCACGGATTATTCAGCTTGCTCTTCTTTGAGTCGATGCTAAATGCTAAACTTGTAAGCAGATTACCTCTAAATGTTTAATCGAGCTTAAGGCTGAATCTGTAATCTGATTGAAACTTGCTGGAAATTAAAGATAATATTTTTCACAGGGTGCAGGGCTGTGTGTGACTCCTGCACGCTGTTGCACACAAGGGTCACACATTCCTGTATGATGATGTGCAAAAAATATCAAATCTGCTGCTTTGCTGAGGACTGGACTAGTTCAACTCACAGAGAGAGAAAGAACTGGCAAACTGTTCAGGAGCTGAATTGTGAAAATCGATTCACTAATTAAGATTTTTGAGGAAAGAGTTTGGAATCTTTTTTAACTGAATAAAAGTTTAAGACTCAAATATTACTTTTGCTGCATCATCAATTTTTTATAGTAAAGGATCCATGGTAGTTCATCAGTTCTGAGAATCTTAATGACTTGACGTAACATAACAACAAAGAAGCTTAAAGTATATTATGAATTTTTTAAAGTTATTTTAGTTTGACAATCCATTCAAATCAACTTTATGAAGTTCTTTGTGTAATGAGTTAATTTACATGTTAATGAGCCATAAGACATATGATTCCATAGTAAATATGAAATCAACCTTATGGATCTGTGGGTACTGTTTAACCAGAAGATTGGAACTTTTTATTGCAGGGATTATGTAACCACTTCGTATTGATTCAGAGAGTCTTAAAGTCCCTATTACATGAAGTGATTTCAACTGTTTTATTCTTGACAGTTTCAGTACCGTCCAGAATGAGTCGTTTCAGGGCTCTGTCACTTTGGGAAAACAAGGTGAAGCTGACCACGCCCACCCATCCCCCGCTCAGGCCGCTATAAGCTGAGAAGCTGTGATATCTGGGAGGGGCTTAGAGTAGAGCCACTGCTCCTCCAGCTGCAGCAGCAGCAGCAGCTCTCGTTTGCATGTGAGAGATGGTTCAGAATATAATTCCTTGAAGATGAACACTGACAGAAAATGGATGGAGTGTTTACAGAGACAGTAGATGCCCACATGGCAACATTAAAGGGTGCAAAAAGTGAGTTTAGCATAATGTGTCCTCTTTATCACCTGAATTATCAGAAACCCTACTTCTCCTGAGGTTTCATGACTTGCATCTTTTGGCTACATTAACATTTGACATGCAGCAACAAATTGAACTGTTGCTATAAACAAATTAATCCACACTAAATGAATTTGCATTAAAAACTGCACAACCCTTATAAAAATTTCATTCTGCTGCAGCATTTCAATATTTGCTTCCAAATTCAACGATTTTGCAGCATTCCTGGTAGGCCTCGTGTCATTTTAACAGCTATAAGGACACAGATGAAATACAAAATGTATGAAACAAATAAGAGAAGCTGATGACGTCTTCTGTGTTCTCAAACCCACAGTCAGTCGTGGCGGATGGCTGCTCATACTGACGGGCGTGATGTTAATGCGACCAAGATGGTCATGGCTCCATAGCTGTCTAATCACGGTGCTGGTTGAGCTGGTTTGGTGGGCCAATCACAGCACTCTGTCAGTAGAGGGGATGTTAATGATACAAAGATGGCGATGACTTGCTTGACTCAAGACCGTCTAAGTCTAAGACCGATCCTGAAGCGGAGGCACTTGGAATCAGTTTTTAATGAACACAAGCCGATACAGCCATATTGTCATGGGTGATTCTGTAGGTTGAGTGCTTTGCAGTCTTGTTTCTGGTTTTATTGTATTTCTGGTACTTCCTGTTTTATTTTGTGCATTCACTTCCTGTCTCATTACAGGCAGCTTCACGACATGAGGCTCCTCACTAATCTGCCTCATGTCTTGCACCTGGGTCCTGGCTTCTCCATTTAAGCGTCTTTGCAACAGTTTCCTTTGCCAGTTTGTCTTCTCCTGTTGTGTGATGTGAACCCTGCTCTCAGAAACACTTGGTAAAAGTGTATTCAGTTAGATTTGGACTTTTCAGTTGTGTTGTACTCCAGGAATCCCTTCTGCTTATTAAAACTGTGTGAGCTCTGCATTTGAGTCCTCTTTGTGCTTTGATACATATCACCCCAGTCTTGGTACGTCTCCACTGGCTCCTGGGATGTTTGTGTATTTTTTTAAGCTTTACTTGACCTAGCACACCTGTCCAACCTGCACACCCCCATGTACCTGTGCATGGTGAGGTCAACTGATCTCCTGTTTCTCTGCACTCCCCGGATGTGCTACAAATCTCGGGGTGAACATGGGTACGCCCATGCTGCCCCCATGCTCTGGAACTCATTGCCTGTTACAGATAGGCAGCCATCCTCTTTGCCCGTTTTAAGTCTCGTTTAAAGACCCACTTTTATGACTTGGCTTTCAGACAGTGTCTCATTTTATCGTTTTGTTGTTTTTACTGTTGTGTTTTATTTACTGTTCTAATTGTTTATACCTGCTAGTGATGCTTTGCATTGATAATTAGATCCTTATTGCGTTTGTCCTTTTCTGTTTTAAATGGCCCTGCCTGTTCAGCACTTTGGTCAGCTCTCATGCTGTGTTTTAAATCACGCTATAGAAAAAAAGTTGGTATGGTATGGTAGGCAGATAGAGGTGCTTAACTTTATTTAGAAAAAAAAAAACAGCTTCTTCTGTGACGGAGTATAGCTGACGACCTTGTTGACTGACATCCATAGCGGTGAGTACGTCACATTGTTTGTTATCCACTAGCATGTGGAGATAGATCGAAAGACAACCATAGATCCTGCCTCACGACAGAGCCGTCAATGGACCGTGGCCAGACTATAAATTCTCACATATAGGATGGCTTGCCAGTCTACCTAAAAGTTTATCTCGTTGTGAATCGGTGCCATTTAAATAAACAAAATTTTATTGAATCAATAATTAGCTATAAACCCATTTGAGCTCATTTGAAATGACCACCATGAACTAATTCTTACTGCAAATATAATTTGTCATAAAGGCTGCCCATGTATTTTAAACTGCCTTTGAGAAAAATAACTAAGACAAAAGTCTTTTTTAACCAATTTATACCAAAGAAAATCATAAAAGACTAAGAAAATTCATTTAAACAACTACAGCTGCATGTATTGTAGCTGTAGTTGTTTAAATTACATGTAGAAAACATTAAACTACTCATCACTCCTGCACGTCAACAAGTTACAGGACTAATTCTCTTATTCTGTGAAATGGAAGAGCTAGAAAACATAAAAACTAACTGAATAACATAAAGGCTGCATCAAAAGTAGAGTTCAAGCACCTTCGCTTACTTCAGGTATTTCTACATCCTCCAAAGTTTTCTGCAGATGTTTTTGTTTGAGGTGTTGGCCCAGCAACACCAGTTACACATGGAATATAACACCAACGTATAAAACTCACTATTATCCAATGCAAAGTTCCTACTGATGTTTGCTCAGCTTTGCTGTTTTTCCACGCACTTGCTTGCCTCCATACACCCCTCGCAGACATTGCTGACATACTCTCATGCTGCACCTCCTCCACTGTCTTTCACTTAGTAACACTGAAGTTTGTTTAGTCCCTTCTCTCAACCTGTCAGCACCTCCCATTGACCGTGACATTTACGTTATATGCATTTTCCAAAGTGGCAGCTTCGGTGAAAATGGTTCACGGTCAGTGCCGGGTGGAAATTATTGACTAAACTTCACCATCATCCCTGGCTTCAGTCCTATAATTGACCCTCAGCAGACACTTCTGCCCATTCTTCCTTTGTTGGGTCTGTAAAAAGTTCAAAAGGGAAGTAAAATCGTACAGAATGGGCAAAAAAACACCAATCTGAGTATAAATTACAAACAAGTAGATTTGTAACTGCTGGTTGTTATTCATATACTCACACTCGCACTCATGTGTAAACAAAGGCAACTCAGTCTGTGTGTACATTAATTTCCAGAGGTTAAAGCAATGCAAGCCGAAACTTGAACTCAGACGATTCATAAATTACCCCCAAAATCTGCCAATTCTTTGGTTAATAAGAATGTAAGTTTTGCTTGTGATACGGATCACTCTTGCGTATCTTCCTGGGGACTTTTTTGACTGCTAATTCACCACCATGCCCTGCACATTGCAATCTGCTTGCACCTTTGTGCGCATGCATGTGGGCTCCAACAAACTTAAGTCAACATCTATGAGGGTCTGTAGAGGCTAAACGCGCCCAGGCAGAAAAAGCACAAGCCACAATTTCTCCATGGGCCTAAACTTGCAGGTTGTGTGGTCTGGTGTCTCCAAGATCTCAACCCACCCACCATCCCTCTCTCTCTCTCCTCCTCCACCTATTTTTCTACTTTCCAAAGTTCCTCTATTCCCACTGGCCGATATCTTTAAACGGATGTCAATCATGTGGCCCAGCTGTTTGCTTTAACTGAAGCCTCCTCCAGACAAAACCACGGCACAAGGAAGTGACAGATGTGGACATGTGTCCTGGAACTGTCTGGCTGTCATGAAGACAAACTGCTAGACTCACTTGAGACTAATCTGTGTGCTATGAAACCAAATATTAATCTCCAAATTAAACAGTTTCTGTAGTAAATTAAACGTGATGTACTGTTTTTGCATTCATGTTTCTTTCCCGGGTTCACAACATTTAAAGTGATCCTTTTTTGGGGGGGTTGGGGGGTGCTTGCTTTTCTTAGAACTGCTGGATGAACTTTCAGACCACCCGGCCCATGTCCCATCTGGTATATCACAGCTCGGGCCATGCCAGAGGTGGTAGGAATGAGAGTGTGTGGTGTTTTTCCTCTCTTCACTATGGCTGACAATACACTCCGCAGCTCAGACCTAAATAATTAAAGAAAGCATGAATCAGTCTCAGATGTCTCTTTGGTTCAGGAATCTCCAAACGGTTCATCTCTGAGATGTTCATGTAAGAAAAAAGAATCCTTCATATATGTAAATGTAGAAAAAACATATGTTTGCAGCTCAGAGTAGATTAGTCCCAGGTTGAAAGCCTTGGCTAGTGTGATTAGACCTAACAAGCAGGGGCTGACACTGTACAGTAACATGACAAAAAGACTCAAGTGGCACTGCTCTTGGATTTAGTAAGTCATTAATGACGGAGTAATGAGCTCTTTTGTGCAGTGGGAATGCCATGAAACGAACAGAAGAGCTGTTATTAACAGGAGTAGAAGGGGAAGTCCATTATCTTCTATGACTTAACAGGATATGACCCAAAGTTATGTCATCTGTCGTCCTGTCTGGTCATTTCCAGCCAGCAAGAAGTAAGTCAGACTACTCCCACTCACTGAATGATGGAGTTCCTAAGCCTCTTGTCTCATGACACTTTTAAATGAATGACTGGATGCATTACAGTTCATGATAAATAGTGTTTTTCCCCATATGAAAACCTTTTTGTTGTGTAGCGATCTACCATAATAATGGAGACTTTATGGAGAAAATTCACTGCTCAGGCTAACTTTATAATCTGTGTGAACACTGGTAGCTTGGACAACAGGACTCTGGGGTTTGGGAGTGGGAGTGCAGGGCATGATAAGAGGTTTAACTGCTATGTGAGAACTCAAGGCTCCTAAGATCAGCAGCTCAGTTATAGTCACTGTGTGACTGGCACAGATTGGGCGCGCGTTTAGTGTCCGCATGACTCC